AGAACGTCCAATAAGACCTCTGGTTTCAAGTGCTTCATTACAATCGAAAACACAATAGACACAACTTTTGGAGTGTGCACCAATTTTAGTGTCCACCTTGTAGTATATCCGTGGGAGCTATACTTCGTGATCTTATTCTGATCTTAATAAAATTCAGTTTTTGATCAGGTGGTCTCGATATATGAAGTCCTGAAGTCAACTGAATTGAGGGAGAAATACAACAATGTGCTGGAATTTGGCTTGCCTGACTGGAGGCAGCCCATATACTACTACAGGTAGCTGTATTCCTTTGAATGGCGCTCGCATGTCTGTTATAGTACTCTTTCATAGGAAAATGCGAAAACTCGCCTGGTACGAGGCTATTCTTGTGCTTGTCGGCGTGTCAACCATTGCCCATTACTTGATGATGTGGGCAGCTTACTACGAAAAATACTTGGTTTTATCGCAGGTGGGGTGTTTTGAATTTCAATAAGGTTTCTGTTTCGAGAATTGAGTAATGTTCAATATTTGATCCATGAAGATTTTGAATTCACTGAATCACCTTTAGAATCTGAAAAAGTCTAGAAAGCGTGAAAAGAAGGGGGAGCCCGAGTGTTCGGCAACACAACTGCGAGAAGCATTGGAAGTCTACCGGCCACAGTTTTATGGTCTGCTACCCTTTCTCATTGTCAAAGGTTCATGGAGTGCTTTTATGGTACGTTTAGAGGTGCTGTATTTGCATATAAAGAAATTGTTTGCTAAAATCAAGTTATTCAAGATGTTTTATGATTGATTTCGTTGCAGTCACTAATTTCGATGGCTCAGGAGTATATGACTCGCAGAGAACCAGAGGAAGAGGTATTGTCTTTCAAACAGCTGTGGTTTATCCTTATTTATGAAAACAATGTCTTCAGAAAAGTCATGATCCGGCTTGTTCGATAACAAGCCAATTAGGTTTCTTCCCAGGTTGTTACACACTTTGTTAGTGGTGAACTTTTCCTCTACTTCCATGGGTATCCTTTCGTACAATTGCCCTATTTACTGCAACTCCTAATTGGGGTTCATTTGCAATTCGGAGGGACACCCGAATTTAAATGTTTTATCGAAAATTCAAGTTTTGTTTTCTGGAGGCCTTTATGCATTTATTCGTGTTTTGGAGGCGGGGAATTATTTGCAAAGTCAATAAGTATGCTCAATTCATTTGATTTCAGGTTGAAGTTGTGGAGCCTCGCAGGCCTGCCCCAACCCCTCGAGCTCCAGAGTTCACTTACGAGATGGCTACTGATTTGAAACCCGTGAGCACTAACAATCCCGAATTATACGCTAAGTATATGTCCGAACACGAGGAGTCTACCAAAAGTTTGTTTCCGAATTGTCTTGAACTTTTCTTATTTTTTGCTACTGTTACCAGCTGTTCCGCCAAATATTAGGTTGGCAAGATTGAAATGTCGGCTTCTGTTTGTGCCTTTGTTTCTCAGCTTAGACACAATCTCCTAGGATGGGAGACCATCATTTCGAAGAGAGCGATTCAGCACGCATATTGCGAAATCTTAGGCGCACTGAGCGGATGTTCTTCGAGCCAAAACTTTTGCTCGAAGATGACTGATCAGAAATCATCGTCTGAGCGTATATATTCAAGCAACGAAAAACGGCCAACGAATCCCACTCATTGTGTGCAAAACATTGAGCAGTAACACTTAGTCTCTGATGCACTTTCAGCTATGGTTTCAGCTCTTCCAAGACTGAGGTAAAGGACCTGGGACGAAGATCGTGGATTTTGACCTCTAGCTTTAGATGACGGAGAAATAAAGAAGCCAACGAATTGAGTCCTCGACAAACCGCACAAAACTTGCATGGAGATTCAGTTGTGTCAACAGAAAAATTTAAAAGTTCCTACGTGCGACTGTTAAGGCCTTTCAGGATAGAAAATGGGTTCGGCCTATTCTGAGCGACGCGAGCAAGCAGTACTGGTTGCCAATACTGGAACTTCGCTCCATAACTTCAAGAGGAAAAGGTTCTTGACTTCGTGTTGACCGCATTTTACAAAGAGATGTTTCCCAATAACAACG